GTTTTACCTATCTTATTTTTCTAGCAAGTTAAGTGTTTCTATTTCAACATGTAGTTCTTGGCTCCACTTTGATTTTTTTATTTTAGTATATGGTGAGAAATAAGGGTCTAGATTCAATCTTCTTCATGTGAATCGCTACTTTTTCAAACACCGTTTACAGTATTAGAGAGGTTGTCTTTCCTCTAGTATGTTTTTGGCTGCTTTGAAAAAGATCAAATAATTGAATGTGCTTGGAGTTGTTTCTGCATCCTCTATTCTGTTCCACTGATCTTCATGTCTTTTTGTGCCAGTACCATGCTGTTTTTAATCACTATAGCTTTGTAACATAACTTGAAGTCTGCGATTGTGATGCCTCCTGCTTTCCTACTGATATCCAGCATTACTTTTGCTCTTCTGGGTCTCTTCTGGTTTCACATGAATTTTAGGATTCTTTTCTCCAGTTCTATGAAGAATGCTGTTGGTATTTTGATTGGCATTGTGTTAAATTTGTATATGACTTTTGGAAGTATAGCCATTTTGACTCTATCACTTCTGCCTATTCAGGAACAGAGACTATCTTTCCATTTTCTAATGTTCTCTTTTATTTATGTATTTATTTATTTTTTGTATGTCCATTTTTGGAGATAGGGTCTCACTTTGTAGTTCAGGATGGCCTCGAATGCACAGCAATCCTCCTGCCTCAGCTTACCAAATGCTGGGATTATAGGTATGTGCCCCCATACCTGGCTCTTTTATTTTATTTGTACCAGGGATCAAACTCAGGTCCTTGTGCTTGTGAGGCAGGCAACGGAACCACTGAGCTAAATCCCCAGCCTCTGGCTTTTTGTTTTGGAGAGTATTGTAGTTTTTGCTATAGAGTTCTTTTACTTCCTTAGTTAGGTTAATTCCTATTTTTCTTTGTGCTATTGTAAATGGTATTTTTTTCTAATTTCTCAATGAGTTCATTATTCTGTACAAGAACACTATTGATTTTTATGTATTGATTTTGTATCCTGTTACATTATTCTAAGGATCTCCTGCTGTTTTGGGGTGGAACACTCTGTAGATGTCTACTACATCCATCTGTAAGGCTTAGTTCAACTCTGATACTTACCTTTAATTTTTTTGTGCTTCTTTTTGTCTAGTTGACCTAGTTATGATATTGAGGTATTGAAGTTTCTCAATATAGTTGTGGTGGTGTTTGAGTTTTTTAAATGTTTAGTAGTGTTTGTTTTATGAAGTTAGGTGCACTGGTGTTTGATGCATATATGTTTATAATTGTTATCTCTTCCTACTGAATCGTTTCCTTAACAAATATGCAGCGACCTTCTTTGCCTCTTCTGATCAGTTTTGCCTTGAACTCCACTTTTTCTGAAAAAAAGATGGGTGATCCTCCTTTTTTCCAAGTTCTTGCTGCATCAAATATTTTTTCCATCCACTTATATTTTAATTGAATGTTTCTTGTATACTGCATATCGTTGGAGTTTTGTTTTTGATCCATTCTGTCAGTCTGTCTTCTGATTGGGAAACTGAGATCATTCACAATGAGAGTTATCACTGAAAAAGGTACTGACCTTTTGTCATTGCATTATGTTTCTATTGCTGATCCTCCTTTCCCCACTGCTGCTTAACTACTCAACCTGTCTGGTGTATTTATTTTAGCGGATTTTTTGGGGCATTATTGGCTCCATTCTCTCTTTTTAGGGTATCTTTAAGAGTTTTTTGTAGTGCTGGTTTTGCGGTGCATGCATTTCTTGAGGTAATCTTTGTCATGAAACATCTTATTTCTCCATCTATTTTGAAATAAAGTTTTGAAGGATATGCAAATCTGGATTGGAAGTTGTCATTGTGGGCTTGAAACACATTACTCTTAAATTCTTCTGGCCTTTGAGGCTCGTATTAAGAACTCTCTTGTAGTTCTAATTGGTGCACCTTTATAAGGGATTCACTGCTTTTCTCTAACAGTTTTAAGGTTCTGTCCATGAGTACTGTTAGACTATGATGTGATGTGGAGAGGTTCTTTTTCAATTGTGATTTGATTTTGATTGTGATTTTTTTGATTTGGGGGTCTATATGGCTAATTATTTTCCAATATTTGGACAAGTTTTTTTGTTACTATTATTTCTGCAAAGTTTTTATGCCACTTGAGCTGCCTTCTGATTTTTCAGTAATTCTAGCAAATCTTTGATTAGTCATTTAGTAGCTGTTGAATACAGCTGGCCTCAAATAAGTAGCAATTCTCCTGCCTCAGCACCCCCAAATGCTGAGATTACAAGCATGCACCACCATGCATGGCTTTCATTTCTGAGATTTCTGACTCTTTTACAAAATCTCTCTGCTAAAGTTCCTGTTCATATCTAGCTTCATTTAACTGTTCATCTATATTATCTTGGGTCTCATTGAGCTTTTAAATATTCTTTTGAGACAGGCAGAGGCTAGGGATTAAACTCAGTATATGCTGGGCTACATCCACACCCTCCCTCCTTTTGAGACAGTCTCACTAAGTTGCTCAGACAGGTTTCCAACTTGTGATCCTTCTGTTTTAGCCTCTGAGCAGCTGAAATGCTAGGGATGTGCTGCCATAAGTGACTTTTTCAAATTATTTTCACTGACCTTGGTATCTTTGGAATCTGTTACTAAAGTGTTACATCAAACTTTAGGAGGGGTCATATTACCTTGTTTCTTCGTATTTATTTTATATGTCTCCCTGTCTTGAGGTTTATGCATCTGGCAGAGTGGATATCTCTACCACTTTTATGGGACAGCCTACTTAGTAAGTAGCCTCCTTCTAAAGATGAAGGTCCTGATTTGTTGTACAATGCTGAGTTCACTTCCTGCTAGGTACTATAGCACAGCTCCTTATAAATTCTTTGGCTGTGAATAGTAAGTTTGAGCACAGCATGTACGGTAACAAAGTTGGAGAGACCTATTTTCTCTGCAGGTTACACAATGTGGGGACATTGCAGTAGTTTAGGTAGGTGTGACATAGACAGCAGAGTATGTGGGGCGCACCCTGTGTGGCTACTCCTATAATGGGAGAGCGCCCCCTACCGGGTGGTAGGACTCTCCTCAGGCACTGGCAATACTGGCTCTGTTGCTTGAATGCAGGTCTCGAACTGGCTGCCCTGGTGGCAGTGAGGGACCTGAAGCACCTCAAGGTCCTCTGATTAGACATCAGTGCAGGTCCACATGGCTCGTGTGGCAGGATTCACAGGGTCTTCTCGTTGGCGCTCATACCCAGTCCTGTCAGCAGTGAGTGATGACACCAGGTCCAGGATCTCAGACCTGACCCCAGCCCTGCCACCAGCTATGCACGCCTGAAGATGGGGCAACAGCCAGGGGCTTTACTCACACTGGTGAGTGTGTGTATGAGAGAGAGAGAGAGAGAGAGAGAGAGAGGGAGAGAGATGGGGGGGTAGAGAGTGAATTTGAATCCAGGGCCTTGCCCCTGCTAGAAAAGTACCCTACGACTGAGTTACATCCCCAATCCTGTGACCCAGTATTTTCAACTGTGCCTGCCAGGGTCTGAGCAGGAGTGGGCCATGGCTGGAGCCAGGTAAAACTCCTCCTGGCTTAGCTGCTCTCAGGAGGGAGGCAGAACAATGCAGCTACCATTGCTCAAGATTTCTTTGTAGAACCCCTTAGGCCCCATGCAGCTCAGAGGCAGGGCTATAGGCAGGGCAGTGGCGGTACTGCGCAAGCCTCCCCAGTAAACAGTGCCCTTTCTCCTGTTGGCAACAGTGCCTGTACATGGTGCTGGGACAGTGGTAGCGGTCAAGTGGCTCAGTCCTGGTGTGCACAGTAGCCAAAGCCCCGGCTCAGAGCGAGCTCTCGCATGCCCGGGCTGTTGTGGACAGCACCCTCCACTCCCCTCCCTGTCACAGCCTCCCTCCCACTGTGCAGCGCACTTGGTGGGTTATGTCCTGACTCTGAGAGGCGGCCACCTCCTGAGCCACTGTAGTAGGATATCTTGGGGTCCCTGAGATAAGACGCAGGGGGTTCTGACCCCTAAAGCAGTCCAAATTCAGATTACAGGTTCCCACCCAAGAAGGCTCCTGGCTATGGAACCCCTGAGGGTCACTGGGAAATGGAGTGATTTCCTCTTCCAATCCCAGACTCCTGTGAAGACTCAAAGACTTTTTTCTATTTACACCGTAAACCTGTCCAGACCATGAGACTTCTCCCACAGCTAAGACTGTCACTACCTGTGGTAGAGGAGCCAGTAAGTGCTGGGAGCCTCTATTCACTGCCTTGCCGTCCAAGAACCTTACGGTTTTATGATCATAATTAAGGTGTTTTTTTCTAGTTTTAGATAAAATTAACCCAGTTATGGAAAAGTTATTGTTCTTTGTATAACTGTCATTAATGACAGTTTTCCAGTATGTACATTGAATATAATCTTTCACATCTATGGAAATTTCACCTTGCTATCAAGTAACTTGTTCGATCCCTTGAGCATACAGTGTTACAAGTGGCTTTAGGATAAGCCAGTGATGGGAGCGTGTGTGGAAGTGAGAGCGGGCTTTCTAGCAGATGAAACAAGACTGTCCAGGGACTGGAATTTGGAAAGCTGGGCCACAGAGACATGGCTCATTATGTGTGTTTAAAACTTTCCACATGGAGAAAAGAAAATATGAAGGAAAAGTTACTTGGAACACGGCAGCTGTTCTCTATATAACAGGAACTGTGATTTTTACCATCAGTAAACTTCAGTTTAGGGAGATTAGTGATTTATAGTCACACAGAATTGGCAAAAAGCATGATCAATGTAGCCTGACAGGCAGCAACAATAACTACAAAAACCACTCACTGAAACTGAATTTTTATTCCAAATGACTGTATGATGTCTAGAAAGACAACTGCCGATAGTCAAAACAGTGCCCTTACTTGGAAATTAGAAGTAGTTGATTTGCAAGTGAGCCAACAGCTGGGTGCTAGTCTGGCACTGTGACAATGGTTATGCGCCAGAAGCACAAAAATAACTCATGTCCTCTGACACACGATCCTGATGTGTGGCATTGTAGTAAATAATATAAAAAGCAAGAAAGAAGACAGGAAAAGAAAAGGAAAAAAAAATCCCCAAACCTCAGAAATTAACATTCACTTAGGAACACAGTAGTGAAGACTTCTGGTACCAAAATTTTCACTGTTAAAATGTCTTCAAAAGGACTTCTTCAAATTGAAAAGCTAAAAAAACTGAAGAGGGAACTGTTACACTGGCTTAGAAGTGTTGCCACCCGTCAGGAAGGTGACAATCAGTCCCACTTCCAAAGCAAAGTGAGAACCGGGGCCTCAAGCAGGCTGGCAGCAGCGCTGCCATCACTGATTGTACACAAACACGCTGGGCCACCTCATTCACGGCGACAGACACGTCTACTGCTCCTCCTGGCTGATGCTGAGGTTGCCCTTCTGCACCTCCAGCTCCTCCGCACTGACCATGGACGGATCAATGGCAGCGTATTTGGTTCCGTGGAATTGCAGCAAATGTATCTGTAGTGATGCAAAGTCATTCTAATCATTGTTCAAACAGAATCCCTGTGTAGTGCTAGGGATGAACCCAATGTCTTGGATGTATTAGGCTGGTACTGTACTACTGAGCTATATCCCCCGCTTTTTTATGGTACTGGGGATTGAACTCAGGACCTTGTGGTTGTGAGGCAGGTGGCAGAACCACAGAGTTAAATCCCTGGCCACCAGCCCTTTTTGAGACCAAGTCTCACTAAGTAGCACAGACTGGCCTCCAACTTGCAACCCTCTTGCCTCAGCTTCCTGAGCAGCTGAAATGAGAGGCCTGGATCACTGCACTGCGTGAGAATGATTTTTAATGGGTGCAATGCAGAACAGAATGAACATTGCCTTCCATAGCGAGTTCTGCAGGAAAGCGCAAGGCCCTGAGTTAGATCCCTGGTACCCCCCCAAAAAAACCTGCCTGACAAGTACAAGGTCCTGAATTTGATTCCTGGTGCAAAAAAAAAAAAAAAAAAAAAAAAAAAAAAAAAAAAAAAAAAAGATGCAAGAGAAGAACTGGTAAGCATAGAAATGTCAAAAAAGCATTTTAAAGAGCTACACCATAGCATCTTTGATCCCAGATTGCTTTGTTACCAGTCTCCATGTTCCTGGGGAGCCCATTCACAGGCACTGTAATTGGCCCCAGGCTGCCTGGCCAGTGGGCCACTTCCCTTCCCATCCTCTGCTATTCTGATTACCGCCTGACAAGTATACCTCAGCACACTTTTTTCTACCTTCAGGGCTACTTTCCTTAGGATCCACTTCCACAGGTGGATGAAAGCACTGAAAGGACACAGCTGCATTTTGCCAAACTGCCCAATTAATCACTTGTCACCACTACCGTAATATCTATTTAGGCAGAGGGTGAGGGGTGGGCTGTTAATGCATTAAAATGACATCAAGAAACTGATGAGACTGAGCAGTACCTCATTTGGGCCTGGTGTCTTGTTTGGTTGAATTTACTGTGTGTTCGCAGGACACCAGGGGCACTGCAGGTGTGGACACAGGATGACTACTCAGAGTAGTACAGGGATGGTGGGCAACCGGGTGGGGGTGTGAAGACAGCTGTGTGAAGTCTGCCGTACATGAGAAACGGAGGTGCCTCGTCCCTCTGAGCACCCACACTCTGCTCAAGTACGTCCTGTATCTCTACTTTTTTTTCCAAAACAGCAAAACTGCAAATTTATTTTAAGAATGGGTTAAGTTCCTTATTTCTGTCTTGGGGACTCTTAGACACAGCCCTGAGACATTTGTCTTAGCAAAGAAAATAAAAATATATAACTTTAAAATGTTAATTGTAGTATGCTTTGGGTCTAATTCAAAATAGTGGTTAAGGGTGGGGATTTAGCTCAGTGGTGCTGCCACCTGCTTCACAAGCACAAGGTCCTGAGTTCAATCCCCGGTACCATCAAAAACAAACAAACAAACAAACAAACAAAAAAAGTGGTTAAGATGATTAACCATTAAGAGAAAATATTAAGAGCACATTACATTGAATAAATGTACATAAGACTAATGCTTATACATGTTATCAGTTGTTCAACGTAAATTCGAGTATTGTTGGCGTCTTAAAATTTATAAAAGATAACGAATTTGGTTTATTAAATGTGTTTCATAAATTATTAGTATATATTAAGGTTTAAGAATGCTTTGTTGGCGAGTTTGATTCCTGGTACCAAAAAAGAGACTGCTTTGTTGGGTTGACTGAAAGTTAAGTTTTTCATAAGCTGGTTATAATTAAAAGGTTAAGCTTTCTAGATCTAAAACATTAAGTTTCTTAAGATACAAAGATGGTCTTTAAACTTATAAAACTAGATTAAAAAGCAAAAAAAGTTCTATATTTTACTCAGGTAATTTCTGGTTTTCCATAGTTAATCTTTTAGTTACTAAAAACTGAGTTTTATTTAAGTGTTGACTTGTATTTTCAATAATCAGTTTATGATAGATTAAATGAACAACTATTATCTTAGTTTAGTTTATGACTATGGGATTAGAGGTACATCAAAAAACAAGACATGCCATGAATCTAAACTTTAAAGTTAAGTTTAATCTATACAAAGTAATAAGTGCTCTTTTATTTTACATATATTTATTTATATATTATATATACTATTTATATATATGACATATAAAATGATCAAAAAATTTTGTGTCTCTTTAAATTTGGCCCTGCCATTTAAAACTTGATCTATATCTACTGGCTTTAATGAAACGAGCATTTCGTTATAGTATAAATGAGATACATGTGCATACTGGGTCAATATTTCAAAGTACTTGATATGCAGATAGATTATGATAGTTAAACCTACTGCTCCCACTTCAACACTGGTGTAACTGACTTCTTGTGTGTTCAACAACTGAGGCCTGGAAACCAGAGTGAAGAATGGTAACTGGACTAAGAATACAGGCAATATATTTGCCCTGGTCTTTCAAGGTCACCAGGGACCAAGGTTACAAGGGGACCTCTCTAAAGAATCCTACAATTCTGGTGAGTCACCCGATCTCTGGAGCAGGGAGACTGCTGAACCCCAGATGACAGGAGTCAATCAGTATGCACTGTGCTAAGAGGGGTCACTAAACAGTAAAATGTTCCCATGCTTCCAAGGGAAGCCACATGTCTGGCAAAGACAATAAATAACCCATCCCAGTGGATGATGCTGACAGAGGAGCTAAGAGGTTCTGCCCATGGCCCCAAAGTAATGCCTGAGAAGCCTGACTTTGACAAATTTGTGTGTGTGTGTGTGTGTGTGTGTATTTAGAGAAATATATTTAGAGAGAAAGATTAATTTTGATCTTGACAAAAGTCTTGAGGTATTGCAGAGCCGGCTGAGGAAGTAGGCATCACTTGTTACACAAGCACAGGACAGTTCCCAAAGCCCTACACTTAGCTTTCTCCCCAGAAGTCGAGCAGGTTTTCAATAGGACAGCATACACTGACAGCGGCCTGAGGAGCTGGTGATGTAAGCGATGGTTCATACTGAGCTTCTGCCTTGTGTTCTCTCTTGCACGGTGACCCCCTCATGTTGTGGGGTTTAGGGTATATACTTCCTTTCCTAATTTTATTTGGCCCAAACTCATTCTACACAGCCTGTTTCTTTCCCTACATTTAATGAAGTTTTGCTGCTGTGTGTCCTGTCTTGAGCAATTCTTCGCTCAAGACGGAAAGAATCTAGAAACCACCTATACAAGGAAACTACAGCACCTCAAAACCCAATAACCGTCTCACTTGGTCTTAAACACCCAAAGGGAAAATGCATCCAAAATTACTTATAATATTAAATCAAAAGCTTGGCTAAAAAAGGTGGGGGCAGAACTCTGCCAGCTGGCACCCCTTTGTTGCGAACAAAAAACCATAAATGAAGACTGAGGGAGACATGAGGTAGAATAGAAGAAAAAAAAACTAGATAGAAAGGAAACAAGGCGATCAAGATTTTAAAAATTGCACTTTTAAGGAAAATTGCAGCTATGGGACCCAAGCCATTTTGTTGTTGGTGCTGTTTCTCCCAAAACACAGCAAACTTAGGCAACTCCTAAAAATGGGTCTGCTGTTTCCTTATTTACAAATGGTCCTCTTTCAACTAAGAATAGATCACCTTTTCATCTCATTACAGGTGAGCCATCCCCTCCCACTCACTAGCCAAGAGTATAACCAAATTCCACAGAAAATTTCACCATTGAAACCCATATCAACAATATCAGGCCTCATTTCTCTGAGTTACTGTGCTCTGCTCTTAAGTGCATCTTGTATCTGTCCTTTAAAAAAATTATAAATGTAAACCACATCAAGTCAATGCCTCTTCCCACAGACAACTCTGTCATTCCCTTTCCTAAACAGAACAGCTTATGTTACAAACAATGCTCACCTGTACATACAGATTCACCTCTGCGCTTCTGCACAGGTAGGGGAAGTTGCCTCCTGTTTTAAGGTGCGCTCTCCGGGCGTTAGGGTACAGTTTGTACATTTCCTCTTTAGCTTCGGTTGAAAGTGCACTCTGGTCAAACACCTTCAAAATAACAACAAAGCTGCAACTGACTGGCATTTTAACAAGTCCTTTCACAGAACAGAAAGTCCCACCCAAGATCTGCTTTTTCAAGAAGGAACAACGCTGAGCCACCAAGCAGCCTGAGCTGCCACACAGGGCTGATCCCTAGTCACTTCGTACTCCAACCTAAGACCTTGGCTACAGTTTTTTGCTGTCAAATGTCTCTTGCATTCTTTTCTTGGTTTTGTTTTGTTTCTGGTACAGGAAATGAACCCAGGGCCTTCCCTCTTTATACTAAGATAGGGTCTGCTAGGTCACTAAGTTGCCCAGGTTGAGCTAAAACCTACAGTCAGTCCTTCTGCCTCAGCCTCCTGGAGTGCTGGAGTTACTGGTGTGTGACACCATGCCTGGCTTTTTGCATTCTTTCATTGGGGGAATTCTATCAGGAATTTTCTTTTTCCTCAAATATAGTTAATAGAATATTAATAGTGAACAATCATTATCGGAAATATCAATTTTAGAAAAGATCAGGAAATCTCAAAAGAACTTTTTATTACTGAAAACAATTACATAAGTCATATACCCTCAGAGAAAAAATTCCAGGAGGTATTTAAAGAGTATAAGGTTAAAAAGTCCAACTCCTTCTAAATCCTATGCAATTCTGGACATACTTCAATGTGCATACAAATTTTACTTGTAATGGATAATTTCCTGACCAGAAAAATATCACATTATTTGAATTTAAGAATAAACCAATTTATGAGGCTAATTAAATCCAGGCGGGCGGGGGGGCACAGCTCAGTGGTATATCATGTGCTTACTACGCTCAAGGCTCTGGGTTTGATCCTCAGCACCAACAAAGGGTAAAAACCACTGTGAGATAGCACTCTGCTCTGTGAGTAGGACTAGTATGAGTGCTGTACAGAATATGGAGAAACCGGAACCTGTGTGCATTGCGAATGGGAAGGTAAAATGGCAGAGCCTTTGTGGAAATCAATATGGCAATTCCTCACAAAGTTAAAGAATTACCAGGTGATCTAGCAATTCCAGTCATAGGTATATTCCCACAAGAATTAAAAGTAGGAATGTGGATATTTTTATACTAATACTCATTCACCATAGCCAAAAGCTGAAAACGACCCACATGCCCACTGGCAGATGAGTGCATAAACATAAAAAAGGAGTTTTTCAGCCTTAAAGGAATGACACGGACACGACATAGCATACTCCTACATGAAACAGTCCAGACACAGAAGGTAAATATTTGATGTACTTAGGACAGGCAGATCCATGGGGACAGAAATTAAGATTGCTGGTTGCAGGGGCCAGTGAAAAAAGGAGGAATGAGGAGTGATTAGTTAAGGGATGTAGAGTCTGTGATAATAAATACTCTCTGGAAGTGGGTGCAATTGATGGTTGCACAACACTGTGAGTGTACCGAATGTCACTAAACTATAGTTTTAAAAGTGGCTAAGGTGGTAAACTTTGTTATATACATTTTACAATAATTTGTTAAAGATAAGCTTTTGTGCCAATTGGACTTTATGAAATTCCAGATTCTCTGTCAAGAAGCATCTTCTTGGGCCGGCAATTTAGCTCAGAGGTTCTGCCATCTGCCTTCCAAGCGTAAGGACCTGAGTTCGATCCTCGGTACCAAAAAAAAAAAAAAAAAAAAAAAAAGCATCTTCTCTTTGCTGCCCCAATGTGTAATAGCTTAAAACAACACCTGTTGATAAGAAAGCAAAAATGCTCTACAATGGGTAACAACTAACTACCAGGGCCTCACACATGTTAAGCAACTGCCCTATCACAGAGCTACATCTTCAGCCCAAACTATTTCTTTCAGTGGTGGTTTTATGGTTGTCAGGAAAAACTCAGGAGAAGCAATAAACCAATTATTTGGGAATTGAGAAAGCTGGGAGTAAAATCAAAAGCCCTGGCAGCATTTGGAGAAGCACACTTCAAGTTATAAAATAATTACATTTTGACATGTGCATTTAGAAAGGAAAAGCATCTATGGTACTTAAAAAAAGCTCACTTACATCCATAATAGTTACAGGAATGTCCCGGATTTTATGAGGTTCCACATAAGAATTCTGACAATTCAGGGTCAGTCTTGAAGCCAGTTCACTCTGACCCAGACTTTCTAGCTGCAGAAAGAAATGCAGGTTAAGATTTTTAAAATAACTTTTTAATGTTTACATTAAATCCACAGATAACCTTTTGCTTACAAATGTGCTGTCATACATGGTGGGGCCAGAAAAGTCACAGATGAGGAAAGACTGAACGAGCCTCTGAGCCTTTTTCTAGTTCTGGAACCTCCATCTAATCTGCCTTCTTCAACCCACTGCCTGTGTGCAGCCAGCTCATTTGTGTACCCTGTAGATTGGAGGTGGAAGAGACCTCAGCAGCCAACTGCCCTTAGCTCCTAAATACAAGCTCTGGGTCGGCAGATTTATCTGAGAGGTAGAGGAGGGGGTAAAGTGAAAATTCAGATTCCTAGGCCTGGTGCCCAAGGATTCCAGGTGGACTGCCTGGTTTGAGGCCTTTGTTTTTTGAGATGTGTTTTTTCTTGCAAGTCACCCAGTCTGATCCTGAGTTCATGCTGTTGCTGGGCATTGTGGTGCATGCCTGTAACCCCAGCACTTGGGAGGCTGAGACAGGAGAATAACCATGAGTTCAAAACTAGCCTGGACTACACAGTTAGTTCAAGGCCAGCCTGAACTATATAGCAAGACCTTTTCTCAAAAAACCAAAGAAGCAAAACCAGAATCCTCCTGCTTCAGCCTCCTAAGTAGTTAGGATTACAAGCATATGCCATGGTACCTGGCTATTTTCATTTTTTTATATCTAAATCATTTAGCTGATACACAAAAACATTAATATTGTATATATTAATAGTGTATATATTAATGTGTTGTTTATATATATGTACATATTTTGTAACATTTAAATTTCCTTAAATATTTCATTTGTTCATGGTAAAAAAAAAAACTTTCAGAATTCTTTTCCTCTACCTTTTTTGTTGTTTTTATTTTGTTTTTTATTTTTTTAATACAGGGTCTCACTATGTATCCCAGGCTGGCCTCACACTCATGGCAACCCTCTAGCCTCAGCCTCCTGAGTACTGGGATTACAGGTATACACCACCATGCCTGGCTTTCTAGCTTTTGAAATGTATAATTTTATTTACAGTTATAGTTTATTGTTATGTATAGTTTATTTACAGTTGCCCTGAAATCTGTTTCTGTTTTGCACTACTGGAGATTGAACCCAGGGCCTTTGCAATGAGCTCTATTCCAGGTCCTTTTTTCTATGAGATGGGGCTCCAACCTGTTATCCTCCTGCTTCAGCCTTGCAGAGTGCTGGAATTACAGCATGTGTCACTGCTCCCAGCTTGAAATCTTTATTTTTGAAAGCTTCCTGTATGATATGATGAACAGCTGCTGGGAAGCACTAACGCAGCTACAGCCCTTACCAGCAGTAGCATCTGCTTGGAAGTACTGGAGTGAATACAGCAGAATGTCTGACAAAGATCTTTAACAGACATCACTGAGGTGGATATACCCTCAGGAAACCAGCAGCTGTGAAAGTTCCCAGTACAAGGTGTTCCCACCTCCATTCCATGGTTCTTACCCTGTCCACCATGAAATCAATGGCATCAGCCATCATAGGGTCCACTGGGCCAGATGAAAAGTTTCCAAGAACTATTTTTTTGAGCATAAATGCAGGCATCAGCCAAAAGCTGTAAAGCAAAGACAAAGTCCCAGTAATGTGAACTTGTCAAGAGTACACATAAATGACAAAAACTCATTCAACACTGACACTCTAATCGTTATCTTGAAATCCAGCCATAAAAAGACCTCCTTTCAGAGCCAGGGATGTAGCTCAGTGGCGCCATGCCTGACTGGCAAATGCAAGGTCCTGAGTTCAATACCCACTACTACAAAAAAGAAAAGAAAAGAAAATAGACCTCCTTTGAAAAAGCTCAGCATCTTGTTTCTACATACACTTTCCCAAGCTCTCCAAAGAGTTAAGAGCCAGATGTGGTGGCGCATGTGTGATCCCAGTACTCGGGAAGCTGAGGCAGGAAGATCTCCTTGAGTTTGAGGCCAGTCTGGGCTACATAGTGAGCTCAAGGCCAGCCTGAACTGCATGGGGAAACCCTGACTCAAAAAATAAGAGAGAACGACTATAAACAATATTTCAAAATACCTTCAAATGAGGTGGCCATTCTGATGATTCCAAGTGTTTTTTGTTTGGGTTGCTTTCCAGTAAATAAACTAGTGCATCTAGAAAACTGCACTTTGAGAGAACCAGTCTTTCTTTCCAGTTGATAACCTTTCCATCAACTGGTATTTCAAAATATATTTCAAAATAGCAAAACAAAAGTTATTGAACCTTCCCAAATTTGCTACTGTTATATTCATTCAGGCCCATTCAGGGCAATTCAAACTTTATGGCTTTCTATACGTGATTTTTTGATATTTACTTTGCGAATTACAAATGTTAAGCGGCATCATAGAGGGTAGTATTCAAAATCTATGCTAAAAACTGCAAAACACATAGAGCACCTTCCCATGTATACTGTCTGTAGAAAAGTATTGTTGGAAGTTTACCTTCCCTCAAAGGGGTGACGCAGTCCTCTTCTACTTCACTTTCTAAGCTCTCTACCACCCCCAGCCACCGCTTTCTCACCTCTTTCCTTTTCCTGTGGGGTTGGGGATGGAACCCAGGGCCGTCAGTGTAAGCTAGGGAAGGGCCCTACAGCTGAGCTGAATCCTAGCCCTTTATCTCTTAACGGTGATGGTGTCTACTTCACCTCCATGTCCTCAGTGTGTAGCATACACAAAGCAACTGATATGCAAGGGCACAAACTGGGGACGGCCTTGGCCAATGAGAGCAACAGTACGGGTCATCAATGAGCTTTACAGCACCAATGTGCTTAAGAAATCGCTGCCCTAATGCTGAGAAAATAAACCACTGAAACAACATGCAGCAAGTTCTGAAAAATAGCAAGACTATAATCTTAAGCAGATGTGGAAACCATGCAAATGATGCTAACTTAAAACATCATTTGAAAGCTAACCAGATTATACAGATACAGTTAGTCACTGAGCTTCTGGTTGTGTTTATAATTACCCCTTGCAGGAAGGGCCTGTGTCTCCCCGCACACAGTCTTCATCCATCATTTAAACAAGCAGCACAAATCAACAGATTACCAGCTACCAGGTTTCCTTAACTATTTCCTCCCAAAAATAAACAGAGCTTACAACCTGTGTTACCATGGTCTTTCATTCCTCCATTCTTAGCACTGCTGGCTTACCAAATCTTTCTTTGCTCTAGCAACTTGTCCTTCAAAACTTGTAGAAGAAAAAAACACATATACACACAAAATGTACTGCTGAGAAAAAAAATTAATTTTCTCTCAATGCAGGTTTTGTAAGGATTGTTTCGAAATGTTAATTTTAAGAAAGAAAACAGGGAGAACAGAACCAACAAATGGAGAGAGATGTAAAGAAAGTTGTAAGTATGAGGCTGTATTTTTAGTGAGGAAAGTTACAGAGAGAATGTTTTTGGACAAAGATTTTGTACAATAAAATAATTTTTTGTCCTATACTAAAATGACTAGATTACCCCAAATGAGGAAAAAGATAAAACTAGGGGTCTAAGGAAGTCACACAAGTCGTGATTGAGAGAATATGTGTGCGATCAAGTTAGACACATGTCATTCTGAAAGCCACCCCAGACCAGGGTAATTTCCTCATCAACATTCCTCGTTTGGGGGTGGGGTACAGTTTAACTGTACATGGGTAATCACTGGACTTCTTAGGGTGCATGACCCTTTATCCACATTGGGCTTGTTTATTTAGAATAATTCTCCCTACAGACAGGGACTAGCTGTCCTAAGTTGAAGGTACAAATAGAAGGAAAAGGAAAGATTGGAGGCTTGAAGATGATGGAAAAACAATGTTATTCAGGTATGGAAAGGCCCAGGGGCTCCCTTACCAGTTTTACAGGAGCCCCGAGTAAAACTGTGAGTAGGAACAAATTGATTAACTTACTCACGGACACAGGTGCTACCTATTTGGCAGATACTAACCTGGCATAAGAAACTTCAGAGACCGTTTCTCCAAGAGAAATGTGGGCTTGCCCCCTCCAGGAAGCTTTGGAAAGATGCCCTTGGGATAACATCCTAACAGTTTCTTGGATATGCCAGGTTGCCCACACCCTCTTTTGGGATGAGATCTCCTATGTAAACTAAATACGCAACCCCACTCCTTTTCTCTAGGGTAACTCAACACTAAGGTTCTGCCTGAACAGGCTTGGATCTTGCAGGTGGCCCTTCTGACAAAAATACCACCTGAAGTCATCCAGGAGTTAAGGCAAGGAATGCTCCCCAATATAAACTCCCTTAAACAGATGGGCAAAGCCCCCCACCCCCCGATCAAAAACAATACCCTCTGAAGTAGGAGGCTGGATGAGAGACAAAGCCCATTCGTGAAAAGTGTCTTAATTCAGGACTTGTTCGATCCAGCACTTGTTCAATCCTGCTAATCTCTGTACAACACCCCCATTCTCCCAACCAAAACCATATGTGACTGAACATCAGTGTGACCAAGACCTACGAGTGATAAACAAAAATGTGCAAGTCCTGCAACCATTGTGAGACAGGAGGCTAGGGCATGGCTAAAACTAGCTGGGACACAAAGTGTGACCTGTTAATTACAAAACCCAGGACACGTGCACAGAACAGTTCCCAAAGCCCTGAACATGGATTTCCTGCAAGAACTCCAGCAGGTTTTCAACAGGATAACCTAGACGCGAAGCCAGTGTGGGAAATACAAAAAAAGAACAACCATCACTGAGCTCTCACCATTGTGTCGCTTCACGACAGCCCAATCTCATGCTGTACGGTGTACTTTTAAACATTTTTTTCTTCTACTTTTACTTGACCCAGATATACTCTCCAGACCCTGTTTTTTCCCATCTTAAAGAAATACAAAACCTTATAACCATGTGTGCTTGACTAATGCTTTGCTCAGGACAGAAAAAACCTAGAAATGATCTCTAGAAGGAGACTCCAGCACCCCAAAGCTCAGTAACGATATCACACGCCCCATACACTCTGCTGACAACTATCCCAGGAGGATACAGTGAGTTTTCACTTCTGGATCCCAAGGATTTTTTTTTTCCCCCACAATTCTGGTAGAAAACAAATCCCAAGAACTATTTGCAGTGGAGGGGCAGGACCCAGACACTCAATCTGCCTGACAATACTGGTGGAATGTACTTCCCCCCAGGGTTTTAAGAATTTCCCTTCCTTGTTTAGGGAAATTGTAGCTGAACACTTGAGGTCACCTTGTTTGGGGAAATTCTGTTTAAAACTTGAGATCCCCCAAGTCAGGTCAGGGATTCCCATTGGAATATGTGGCACAGTGAGCCCAACATATGACAAGTGCCTTGCCAACAGGAAGACTCAATTATGTAGCAGGATGTGTATATAAAGTTGTCTAAGAAAAAGGCACAAACCTGCAAGCAACACATCAGTTATTTGGGACCTGCTTTGTCCCTGAGACAAAAATAAGACCTTTTTCCAGACCATAAACTTATTAGGAAGCAACTGAGAGGACTTCTGGGATTGGTTGACTTTTGCAGAATTTAGATTATTAATCATGGGTTTAGAGTAAAACCACTCCATGAGGCCCTTACGGGACATGATCTTGAGCCTCTGGAATGGACTAAGGAATGTCAAAAGGCCTTTGACAGCTTCCTGACTTGCAAAAGCCATTCTTCCTGTGTTCATAAAGAACAAGGGCTGCTTCCACTGCTTGGAGTTTTAGCTAAGCCCTTAGCAAAGGTGCTGCATCTGGAGGCACATTTTCCCCAAACCAGACCACATGGCTAAGAAACGGCCTCCATGCTTGCAAGCAGTTGCAGTCACTTATGACATTCCTCAGGAAGCAGGAAAATTCTTCTTGACACAACCTTTGCCTGTGTTTGTGCCCCACCATGTCCTCTCCCTTATTAGAACACAAAGGTCCTGACTCACGGCAGGAAGATGGAAAATACCATCCTGCTGGACAATCCCAACCGGCCACCTTGCTTGACTTCCTACCCTCAACACAAGGGCCGGCAGATTACTGAATGATTATTACAGCCAGCTGGCTGGATTTCTCCGATCAGCCTTTCCCCAGACTAGAACTAGAACTATTTACACTGGGAAGCAGGCTTATGCTGAGGTTGTGACATCATAGCCTTAACAGGATTTCTGGCTCCCCAAATGGACTTGTTTCAAAGGGGTAAGACCTGGGTTTTGCTTCTGACCCAGCAGTCCCTGGTGGAATGCAGTGCTCGGGAAATAATTTTGGTCCCAGACGCACTTCTTAAGCCTGTGATGAAACAACAACCACAGTCACTTTGGGAGAAATGCCACTACCAATGAATCCCAATTTACAAAGAACTGTTCAATATGTCACGCAGAACTGCCTGTTATGTACCAGAAATAATCCAAAGGAAGGCACAACCAACAGGTCTCCACAGATGGGACTTGACCTTTTAGGGAACAGCCCAACTAAAAACTGGCAGGGTGGTTTTGCTGAAAGGACACAGAGTCCTGGGAAATTACAGGTATCTGTTAGTTTTGTAGACACCTTTTCTAGGTGGGCAGAGGCCTATCTGACCTGCACTGAAAAAGCATCTGAAGATAAGACACCCTTCAAGGGGCCTATTTCAAGATGTAGTTTGCCTCACACAATCCAAAGTGACAAAGGATCTTTGTCTCATCTGTCATCCAACAGGTATCTAAAATACTGCATATCACTTAGAAATTATACTTTTTCTGAAGGCTTCAGTTGACAGGAAAGACAAAAGATGAATCACTTTAAGGAAAGCTACTGCAAAAATCCATCAAGAAATCAACTTAACTTGGACTAAAGCACTCACTGCCAACTGCCACAAATTGAGTCCTTCTAAAATACTATGTAGTAGCCCATTTCAGATCTCTGTCCTCACAGGAGGGAGTGCGCTGGCTTATCACAGGATGAGGGGAGGACTCCATATGTGAAATCACTGGGGATGATATTAACTTCTGTCTATGCATTTGCTTCCAACAGATCCACATATTCCCATGACACCTGTCTATTTCAATCTGGTGACTGACTTCTAAAAACCTGGAAAAGGGGTTGGGGATTTAGCTCAGTAACGCCTCACCTGCCTCACAAGTGCAAGGTCCTGAGATTGATCCCTGGTATCAATTAATCAATCAATAAATAAATAACAGAAAATAAAAACCTGGAAGGAACCACACCATCTGAAGTTCTGCTAAGAACTCACTCTTCTGTCAAACTGGCTGCTGGGCCACTATAAACCCACACGTGACTGAAGTCTACATTCACAATGAGGTGGTCAGATTCCTGGACTGTTCCCCAATAGAGAATCTCAAATACTTAAGAGAAAGTGAAATCTCGGCAATATAAGCTGGTAATGTTTATAACCACCCTAGCCCAACAGGGAGGTAACCCTCTTGCTGACTTGACAAAACCTCTCACGTTTGACCAGGGATGCTGGTCTTGGGAAAGAGAACTTTCCAGTCTCAATGAAGATGGCCCCTTCTCGATATGCCCTGTAGCTATGTTTACTATTTAAGGGGGTGTGAACAAATACTCAGGAACAACCTCCTTTGAGCTCCTAGCCAGAGAGTTTATGGAGAGACTCTTATAAAGAGGCACAGTACTGGAAATAGGGACAATCCCCACAGGAAACAGATGCACTATCCCAAATGGGAGCCCATCTCAACCCTAAGCTGTACCCCACAAAATGATTTAGTTGTGCCTTCCAGACCTAGGGAATGCTTAGTTTAACCTGGCCTAGCATTAATACACCAGGAAGGGCCAATTTTGCCGAGAAGGAATAGCAAACTGTACCCTCTCACCCCTGAGAAACATCAGAACTAAGGTTATAGCAAACATTCACCCGAAGAGACCCAAATCTCCAGCTTAGACAACTTCATTCTGTGCACATCCCTCCTCCACCTCCCAGACGGAGTGCTCACCTCCCCTTATCCTGCAAGACTGAGGGATAGAATACAGATAGCGGGGGGAAAAACTGTGGCCGTGCTTAATGTCATCCTTAGCCAGAATGGCCTGTGCCTCCCCAAGAGTGCAACCCACGTTCTTCATTGAAAGGAGCTGTGTGAATTAGATTAGTAGCTAGATCAGTTCCTTAATCATTTCCACAAGTCCACCATTCTTGGTCTTGCTAGCTTAATGAATAAATGTCCTGCTTTGCCCCAACAACTTATCCTCAATTCAATGAGCCCCTTTTAAGTAGCAAGAAATTCCAGGCTTGGTAACAGGCTTTTTATAGGATAAAGCCTTGCCTTGCTGACAATGAAAAAAGCACATTGTAAGCCAGCTTTAAGACATTCAGTGCCTATCAAACTAATTAAAATGATATGATCAACACAGACATGGGTCCCAGAAAACAGGTACCACTGACTACCCCTAAAGCATCTCTACCATTTCTATCTTTCTAAAGACGCTGACATCAGTTGTCATGATCTAGAGAACATTCGCTGATGGATTACATGCTTTAGTCTTTCCATTTGGGAAACAACCCAGAAAGAGAAGGAAAACAGTAATTTGTACAGAGATTTGTAGCAGGATGTGATGAAACACTGAGAAAAACCAAACACCTAATGAAACTATTATAAACACATAAAACTGTTCACACAAAATACATGGGGCCAAAAGAACACAGTTATCAGCTGATGAACTAAGAAAAACTAAAGCCGTATAAATATATAAACAATAATTTAAAATACAAAAATAGTTGGATTTAGAGTTCATTTGTATCCTTTCTTTTGCAACGGCAATGGTTCTAATTTCAATAGCCAGGGAAGCTACAGAAGACTGATGCAAGTTATGACCTTTCCCTCCCCACTAAGGCCAAAAAACCCTAAGGCCAAATTTAAAAATTTTGCTAAACAAAACACCATGCATTTTTTTTGCTTAATGCTCTGTCCATACCTGTTTGCAGTCCACGTCTGGTTGAAGATAGAAGTGTCACTGAAGGAATTGCAGAGGATGAGGGAATGGACTCTAGGAGATTTGTGAGTGTATTCAGCAAATTTCTGGGCCAAAAAGCCTCCCAAAGAAGCCCCAAACAGATGAACCTAATTATAAACAAATATAAGGCAGATCCTGAAACACCGATCAATCCTGAATATGACTGGTATTTTTGTAAACTGCTTCAGTTATCACTAACCACAGTGTGTTGGGTAACAGACTGAAATATCTACAGCATTTAGAAATTAGAAAACATTATATTTAATTTATACACCCCATTAATAAAACAACTATAAATCCAGATTATACAAGTCAAAAAATGTCATTCACAAGTTGCATTAGAAAATGAAACCAATTAGTTTCAGAAAACTGTGAGAGCTGGGGGTACAGCACAGTGCAGAACACTTGTCTGTCATGAGTAAGACCTTGGATTCCATACCTTATGCCAAAAAAGAAAAAGGTTAAAAAATTATGACTCGGGAATTCCACTGCTAGGGTCATATCTAAGAAAACTGAAGATATATTGGAACAAAACTTACAAATACTGATAGCAGCATTATTCATGATAGCCAAAATGCAGAAACAAATGATATATCCATTGATGAATGGAAAAGCAAAATATGACAGATGGATATATATATATATATAGAGAGAGAGAGAGAGAGATATTATATATTTTATATATATATATATATATACACATATATGTAATATAGAGATAGCCATAAAAGGGAATGAAATATAGGTTGAACATCTAGAAACTGAAAATCTGAAATACCTCGAAACCTAAAACTTTTGAAGACGTGACACTTGAAACATTTCAGATTTTGAAGCAGTTTGAATTTGGGGCTTGGGAAGTCTAGCAAATATTCCAAAATATGAAACACTTCTGATCTCAAGCACTTCAGATAAGGTACAACCTGTACTGAGTCAGGCGGTGTTATGAAAGAACCTCAGACACATTATGCTAAGTGAGAAAAAGCCAATTCCACAGGACCACGCTTGATATGACTACATTTATGTAAAATATCCAAAAGGACAAAGTCAGAGACACAGAAAGTAGGTTAGGCTGCAGAGCTAAGAAGAGAGAGGATGGAGAAAAACTGCTGATAAATAAATCTGAGTTTCTTTTCTTTTTGGCAAAGCTGAGGACTGAACTCTTGTGCATTTAGGCAAGCACTTGACCAGTGAGGCCAATCTGAGGTTTCTGGTACAAGTGAAAAGATGGTCTACAAATTGACAGTGGTGATGGCTGCATGTACCTAGGAATTTCTTAAAGAACAACAAATTGTACACTTTAAAAGGACAAATTATGTGGCATGTGAATTATATAAAAATAAATATTAAAAAAATAAAAAGCATTAGGCTTTACAAGCTAAATGCTGCATTAAAATTACATGTGAATAATTAGTTTCAAGGTACTCACTTTATCCAGCTGTAAATGGTCTAGAAGTTTTCTGAATCCATCACAGAATTCAAGGTGGTCCCAATACACTGGATACTGCAACTGAAATAGTAATTTTAAAATTTATGTTTAAAACTGTAAAAGCACAAATGCAACTCATACCTGAAAATTTTAGGGCTCATATAACCGAACTTCTCATATGCTCAAGTTTTGCTTCTTATTCAAAATATGTAAAAATAAGCTCTCACCTTCTAAACTTTGTATTTTATGTAACAGGCCAAAATTAGAAAAGGCTAAAAAAGTAAAAACACTCTAGCCATACTATGTGAATCTCACATAAATTTTCATTCCAAATAGCTGAGAAAGTCTGAGGTTCAAGGGTGAGTAGAGCAGGAAAGAAATGCTGTTCTCCTTTAAAGCCAATTTCATTCTTAATTGAGAACATGATATTCAAAGAGCTCAAGGGAATGGGAAATAAAATCTATTCAGAGAGCATCCTCTCTCTTTCTTTAAGGAGGTGTTCAATAAAATTGTTCTTCTTTTAATGGGCTTGGTCATTTTATCTGACTTTTTTGTACTTGTGAACAACAACCAAAAAAAGAATGATAATGACCATACGCGCCTGCTGATGAATGCTGGCAAAGACAAGGAAAAAGTACAATTCAAACTCATTTCCAGGGGCGTTGGGGTGTGCCCTCAGAATTCCCCACTTTATACACACAAAAAATCCATCAACATGCTCATTGTGTAAGCTTGGTTCGTCAGTGAAAAATCACTAGAATAGACACTGCATGGGAATTAAGGGTAATTTTGAATTTGATGTATTACTTTAATTGTTAAAAGTCTATTTGATAAGATTTCTACCATTTGGAGACAGGATGGAGAACAGATTCTTCATAACAGAGTATGTAAGATGATGGACAAAAGAAAGGGGATTTTTTCCCCACTCTTTTATTTTAGAAACCTAGGGATTGAAGCCAAGGCCACTAAACTACCTCCCCAGTCTTTTTTTTCTTTTCTTTTCAATTTTACTTTGAGACAGGGTCTCATTAAATTGGCCAGGCTGGGTTCCAATTTGCAATTCATCTGCCTCAGCCTCCCAAGTACCTGGAATTACAGGCATATGGCACCATGCTCAGCAAAGGGGGATACTTTTATGAAGGCTTTAATTTAAAAATATGCACCCCCCTGTTGAGGATACGACTCAGTGGTAGTGTATGTTCAGCCTGTCAAGGCCCTTGGCTCAATCTCCCGCACCCCTGCCAAAAGGATCCGTATTAAACACAGGTGTTACAGTGATATAAAACTTAAGTGTGCATGTGTGCCACACACACACAGGAGCACAAATAAAACGGGGGAAATTTGAATAAGCCCAAAAGACTGTATTAACTGTAATATTCTAGTTTTGATATTGCACTATACTTCTGCAAAATGTTACTAGCAAAAACTAAGCAGAGTGTAAAAGGATTACTTCTCTGCTGTGTTCATTGCTGGGGATTGAACCTAGGATCTCATACACGCTAGGCAAGTGCATTAGCACTCGGTGACACTCCCAACACCTTTTGTTTCTGTTTTTCTGTGGTCTGATGTAGTTTACAGGAACACCAAAGACAGACCACATGAAAAACATGTACTTGCATGTAGCACAACTCACTTAGAAAAGTATAAGAGGTGGATAAAATCTACCATATAACATAAATGCTACGAACACCATTTAGTTGCTGTATGAAATTAGTTTTTTTAAATTCAAAAGAAAAATAACTTAATTTACAATTGTTATGAAGAAGAATTGCTGAAACTTGTTCACTGAAACACTGACTTGCTTTATGCCTCCTCACTTGTATTAAAAATTTACAAAAGAATGTACAAAAACTGTCAGCACCTGAGTTCTGTCTTCTCTTATTTCCCTCTTGCAATCATATACTTATGGCACCTTTTGATCTCATAGAAAGAAAGGAAAAAAAAAAATCTAACATTCAGGACTACCAGTAACAGGAACAGGAATTTTGTTTTTTAAATGTTTGAATGCTTCATGAATTCCCACATCATCCTTGTGCAGGAACTGTGCTAAACTTGGCATCATTCCAGCTTTAGTATATGTGCTGCCAAAGTGAGCGTCCTGTATTTCTTACAAAAGCGTGTGACTCTTCAATCACCGAAATATTCAAATGAAAAAGATCTGTGCATTTTCACTGCTAGATACTAACAAATACCTAGTTAAGTTTCAGAACTTCATGGGGATGAGCATTTTGATCGTATCCTGGAGACAGGGTGAAATCACTATTGGCCTTTTCTTGACTCAGTATCTAGCAAAGGAGAAGGGAAAGCCCTCATCAAGAACCTTCAGGGCTAAGAATTATCAGGTGGCTTTTCCCTGCCTGGGGGACGAGGGTGCGGCACCTGCCCTCTAGAACACCGAGTATGGAGGATGATGGATACTTGGCCCACCGTGGGGCAGAGCTGCAGAGACCCCTCATGCTGTAGAATGACTTGTTAGAGAAATGAAGCTGGGGGCCAGGGCAGCCAGCAGGCAGCTCAGGTGATAAGTTTTGTCAAAGGCAGGGCTCCCAGAAAGAGGACCTGGATTTGAGGCAGCACCAGTTCATGGTAAGAATTTTCAGCTACCTTCCAAGAAAAGAGAGTCAACCTCTCCTTCAGACAGAGGGTAACCCTTGTAACAACAGCAGGACCCTGACAGAACACAAGGGATATGCTAACAGCCCAACTCCCAGAGCCACTGTGAGCTCCAAAGTTAAGAAGGGTCTCTCTGGGCAGGGGATTTAGCACAGTGGTGCTGTGTCAGCCTGGGAAGGTCCTGAGTTAAGGGAAAAAATTCTTAACCAAATGCTGAGGATAGGTGCTAACTAAAGAACACGACCTCAAATGTTAAAGATTTACATGAAGAGCAAGCTTTAGAGTCACCTGAGTTAGCAGATGCCTTTGTCTTATGCTTCATGCTCAGCTTTCTGGAAGCACTGGAATGATGAAATAAGTACGAGAAATGGAATCCCAAGACTGAGCTGACTTTCTCCCTCCTCCATCTACTGGCTGTGTGACCCAGGGTAAACCCTAAAACCTCCTGGGCCTTGGACTCCTCATCCACACACAAGGACAAAATGTTTCCTGCCACTCAGCAGTTATGACCTGTGTATCAGGAGAGGTGCACCTAACAGCTGGGGACAGAGGCTGCTTTGTGCCCTCACAGCAGACTGCTCTGTTCCCTCACAATCTCTGTATGTCTGTGTACACAAACCGGCCAGGGATTTGCCTCACATTTTAAAACAGGAAAACAGCCAGGCATGGTGATGCATGTCTGTAATCCCAGCACACTGGGAGGCTGAGACAGGAGGATCATGAGTTCAAGCCCAGCCCGGGCAACCTGGAAACTTAGTAACACCCTGCGCTAAAATTAAAACTAACAGGCAGAGATTTAGCTCAGTGGTTCCTCAACCTGCCTTGCAAGCGCAGAGTCCCGAGTTCAATCCCCAGTAACAAAAACAAACAAAACTAGAGGGTTGAGGATGTAGCTCAGTGTGAAGGCCTGGGTTCAATCCCCAATACCACCAAAAATATCTTTCCTCAATTAAACAAAAGCGTTCATTACTATAGTTTAGAAACAGATGCACAAACAACACAAGTCTGAATTTTATCACTTAAGCAGTAATACTTACAGCTATAACCCGGTAACCCCATCCAGTCAAAGCCAAAATCTGCCGGAAAAAAACATCTGCTGTTCCGCTGACAGGAGGCAGAAATATGAGAGGACACCTGATACTTCTGGGACCCGCATCGTAGAGCGACCATATTTTACTGTCATCATCATCTACGATAATCTGCATGGAAAGTTGCAAGAAAAAACGGACCACCTCACAGATCTGGTTTTGACATTAGTTTACACGATAATTTTACTGACTACTGCTGCTGCCTTACACAGAGTAACCTGAGATCACAGCAGATTAGCTTGCACAATCAACTGGTTTGGTTTCCTGTTCTTTCTTAGTGCTAACAGATTCCACAGAACTGCTTCATAAACTTCCTTGGGGCTGCTCCTTCTGTTTTTAATTTTCTTGTCCAACCTTGATAATAGGCATTAAACAGTAAACTCTGTAAATGGCATCTTATTTCTCTCCACACTTCTGGCTATGTGCATGCAAGCATGTGTTCACGTGTCTGTGTGTGTGAGCATATGCGTGAGGGTGTGTGCACGCACACCTTGAGGGCATATGCAGTCAGTCTCTAGGGTGCTGGCTCAGGACTAGCTGGGATCAGCAGGGCAAGGGAGGCCCAGAAAGAAGCTGGGTAGAGACAGCCCCGGCCCATGAGATGTCTCAGGATGCTGATCTGGACCAAGCCTTGGGGCAAGAGGAGGGAGAGGTATGTGTCACTCTCCCAGGGGAACACTTCAACCATTCCATCCGGGTGGGGAGTGGACACAAAGAAAAACTGGCTTTGGGGGCAGAGGAGGGGGAGAAAAGCCTTAGAAACCTTCCTGATCTCACAGGTCTGGATCCTTGAAGGGAAAAGGTGAGCAGGACACACAGAGAGGAGAGCCAGGTGGTCAGCAGGTGTCCAATGACCAGCATGGCTCAGCTATGATGATCGTGCACTTCATGAACATCTTCCAATTCAGACCAATACTTATCCATTTTGTTTTTTTTTTTCAAACTTTTTTTTTTGGTACCTGGGATTGAACTTGGGTCCTTGCACTTGCAAGGCAGGCCAGTGAACCGCTGAGCTAAATCCCCAGCCCCGCCAATTTTTTTCTTTTTCTTTTCTTTTCTTTTTTTTTTTTTAATACTTATCCATTTTGTTCTGAAGACAACCAAGGTCTCTGGGTGCTCTGCTACAAGAGGTGAGAGCTGGCAGTGCCAGGGACTCCACGGGTCCACTCGGTGGGGAGCAGCACACCAACCAGAGTCACTGCTGTCACCAGGAGCAGACAAATGGGGCAAAGCAAAGTCCAGAGAGGCTGAACGATTTCTCTTTGGACTTCCTTGGGTCATAGATGGTGACGATATCTCCATGCTCAAGTTTCTGACCTTTGCATTTTGCCCTTTAAAGTTCTGCTTTTCATCTATCATTTTGTTATAACTGTGATTAAAAAAAAATAAAACCCAAAAAACTCTTAATGACCTTCGACAGTGCAAACAACAAATCCCAATCCTGTAGTAATAAAATAAGACCTTCACATCTCTAAAATAGTTTAGGGAATTATTTCAACATTACAGGCTGGAAGAAAACCACAAATGGCATGTTCTGAAATAGTATGTTCTGAAAAATTACAGATGTTCTAAACAGAAGTCATAAATACTTAAATGTGTTTATCTCTATGACTTTCTCAGAGTTCTTCTAGAAAACACAGCACTGTATCTGATAATTTAAAATTGAGCACCACAAAATTATAAGCATGACTTGTGGACCAAAGTGACTGACAGCTGGAAAACATTACATAAATGAAACTACTTCCTACAACTATTCGTAAGAATATTTAGATAAATTTGGGTATTTGGGGGTCTGGTGATTACACTGATGACACAGTCCATCAAGAGGAGCTAGTCTATCAGGCATGGTGGTACATGCCTATAATCCTAGCTACTCAGCAGGCGGAGGCAGGGGGAATCACAAGTTTGAGGCCAGCCTTGACAATTTAGTGAGACCCTGACTAGATAAGATAGAAAGGACGGATGGATGGATGGATGGATGGATGGATGAACGGACGGACAGACAGAAAGGCTGGGGATGTAGCTCAGCAGCACCTGGGTTCAATCTCCAATATAGCCACATACACAAACACAAAAAGTTGATTGTATGTGACAATAAGAGAGGGGTGAATTTTTATGTTCTGTACCCTGAAATCACAATATTGGTAAAATCTTTACTTTCATATTCTTGACATAGTAACTTTAAGTGCTGGGATGGAATGCAGGGCTTCATGAAGTCTAGGCAAGTGCTCTACCACTATACCACATTCCCAGTAACCTCTACCCTCAAACATTATTACTAAGGCATAGCTCTAAAGCATGCACAAAAACAATGCAAGGTTTTACAAATGGGAAGAGTAGCAAAACTATACATACCTTTTTAAGAGGAACTGTACTTCTAAACCAGTTATAATCAGGAGAGACTTTAATCTCTCCCATGATTAGCCGAAATGGAGGTTAACCCTGAAATAAAAGCAAGTCATAAATTTGTGTTTACATGAAAACTAAATGTATAGGCTGGCCTAGCTTTACCAACACTTTAAACCAAAGAAATGAGCCATTTTACCTTGTCAGTATACACTTAAACTACTGAAAACAATTTGATGAAACACTGTAATAACAGAGAGAAGAGAAATAATTATTATAACCCCTTTAGTTCCTTCCAAAGAGGAATCTAATCTAGAAAGTTTAAACAACTTACAAAGGATCACATGGCTAATATGAATTAGGACCACAGAGAGGAATCTTTCCTGACGCCATACTGCCTGTCCCTGTTACATGACTGCCAAGTGCTATACCATCACCTTTTGAAATGATCTTAAGAATGCATTTTAATAAAGATATTTCTGGGCTGGGGATTTAGCTCAGTGGCTCTGCTGCCTGCCTCACAAGTGCAAGGTCCCGAGTTGGATCCCCAGTACCAAAAAAAAAAAAAAGATATTCCTGTCTCATTATAGATAACAGTCCCTGCTAAAGAAAGGAGTTAAAATAAGCCTGTTTTCTAATATATTCACAATATGTCATAAATCTAACTCTAATGGAACATAACTTCAGACACTCACATGTAGTTCATAAAATGCACAGGCAAATTTGCCATTTTTGGTGATGTGATTAAACATTATTTAAAAGCCACTATGGAAGATCAATGATATAAACTGGAAGTCACTAAAACTAGCAATAAAAGTATTTGTCTTCAGGGGAAAAAAGTGGACTTTTGGGAGCTTAATGATTTCTAGTTTGTGGGTTTTTTTTTTTTTAAGGGGAGAGGTATTTTATGGTTTGGGGATTGAACCCAGAGCCTCTCACATACTAGGCAAGCACTCTACCACTGAGCTGTACCCACAAGCTGATTTCTAGCTTTCGTAGTTCTGTGACCTTGGACAAGTATTCCCTTTGGGGTGGTTTCCTCATCTGCCCAACACTCTATCCCCAGACCATAGAATAGTGCCTGACACTGAGCAGACACTATCTGCTGACCAAGTGATGACTATGTCCTGAGGGGACTCTAGTAGGCTCTCCTAGAGTCCCTCCTAATCCTGGCATCTGGCAACTCTGCTCTGGATGAGCATCTGCAATTTAAAGGGTGCCCCTCTTTTTGCTCAGGCCTCTATCTGTGTTATATCATAACAAGAACCGGAAATTACAGTTCCTTATTTCAGATTCTTACTGTCAACTGAGGAACTTTCATCCATCCACTCAGAAGGATAGAAATATTTGTCTTGCACCACATTCTTCTACTGCACGGGCAAGACTCAATTTCCTAGCAGAGCTGAGATGAGTTTTAGATTCCAGGACTTAACTCCTGTGCTGACTCTGAACTATCATCTTGGAAAGGTTCTCTGGACTGGCAGGGAGCAGAGGACACTAAACTTGATAGAACTCTTTCTCTTCTGGGGTCCTCCAAATCTGCCCCGACAGGGACACAGGTCCTCAGCAGTCTCAACTGCTACCTTGAGGAGTGACTAAATTAAACCCCCAGGAGACAGTAAATGCAAACATACCAATATTAAATTTGATTTATAACTCCATTATAATAATGCTTCTCGCCAAACTAAAACAATACCTTTGTTAAAATCTCAAGTTACTTTAAAGTACTAGAGAAATTCATCAGCAATCTTATGCTGAAAACCAGTATGCATAGATGTCATTATTAGTCAAACTAAAAAGAAAATCAATCTTTGAATAATCCATTTTATCTTAAGTATTAACAAGTTTAAAAAAATCAAATCCATTTTAATTATAGTCTTTCTCTAAATTGTTACTTTTAAATGAAAGCAACTTGCACATTAATTCTAGAATAGATTCTATCTGGACAGACTTGATATACTTCCATATCATCTAAACATTTCCTACTGGAGACATTTTCTATTACTGCATTTTTAGAAACAATTACTCCAAAGAAAGTATTAAAAAAACATGTTAAACAAATAAAATCGCAATCAATTTCTAAAGTACCTTTCTAATCAAAGCCAGAAAGTTTGCTTTCAGAGTCAACAAACTTGGGATAAGAAATTATTCATAATTTTGGCATCTGTGACAACCAAACCGCCACATGAACACACGGGCACACAAATTCACTCACGCATCCGCTTCTTTCCAACAAGAAGTAAAAAGATGTTCCTTACCAACAGTACAATTCAACCACCTCAATACAATAATGCGATAGAGCTAATCTTGCTGGATGGAGTGATTCTACACAGCTGTGACTAATGTTTTGCAGGGCCAAAGGATTGTAACACTTGTGCTAGTTGGGCACTAAAGAAAGGTGAGACACAAACCAAATGTTGCATCTGACCAGCTGACACTGAGGAGAAAAAAAAGATCACTGCTGTGCAGGGGAAGCAGCTGTGTGGAGCATGAAAAGCAGTTTGTTCTCTCTTTCATCCGCTGAAGGGCATACTTTTCCAAGACATAAGAGAAACATTCTGTCTATGGCACAGAAGGTGAAATGAAATGGTGACAAAACCGGCCAGGATGAAATAAACACGTGGATGACAGATTAAGCACTGATGTGATCTCTTGTGATTTGGAAAATCAAAACAAAAACACCTCCTTGTGCTGGTGGGTGAAGGGCCAGAGAGATTAACCTTAATCTTAAGGAAACCCCTCCTGGCGGGGGTGGGGGTGGCGACTCCCTTCTACTGCTAGACAGTGAAAGTACCAGTTGTTAAGTCATGTCCTGCCGGGTTTCCAACATATTCTGCCAGTTCACAATCAAGAAACTCACCTTTAGAAAAATTTCAACCATATAAACAGCTTAAAGAGTCACGAGTTTCTGATCCTTTATCCCACTCTACAGTTGATTTACATATGGGTAATCTGTGTGTATTAATAATACCTGCAGAAACACAGTATTAAACCCCAAGAATCTCTAGGTAATACATTACACTTGGGGGCTTTGGTGAGTATTTGGTACCAGGGATTGAACCCAGGGCCTGGAGAAAAGTGCTAAGTGCAATTTTACCACTAAACTACACTCCCAGCTCCATAACTGCCTTTTAAAGGCAGGCTCCAGCTCTCCTACACCAACGTTTAGCTATCCTTTTCACAGTTCCCTTCAGGAAGATTTATCCCTTTTTTCCTTCATCATCTCTACACTTCATAGAAAAAAAAAAAGCTGCCTGTTTGACATCTCTCCTGTTAAGAGTTTTTCTTAAGCTTTTGGCATAAAGGCTTTTGGGAATCTGGACGCCGCTATTATGTTACTTCTCACTCTGCTGACTCTTTGTTCCAAGAGGAGCTGGACCATTGTAGGTGAGACAAAGAAGCCGCATAAACCACTAACTTATAACTCCCCAGGAAAAGCGAGACATTCTGGCCCTGCTACTTTTCTGAAGCCTCACACCTGGCCTGTACTCAGCAATGACAAAGACATTTGTTACTTTCGGGCTGACGTCCAATTTCCAAAACAACTGAGCTCTCCACACATTTCTTAAAAGTTTACTGAAATAAAACGTCCCGGGGCTACAGACCCAGAGCCCCAGAATGGACATACACTGGGATGCCCTGATTAATCCTTCCGCAACTCTCCCTGCCCCTAAGTCTCTTATTAGTCCCATCGGTGACAGACACACAAAGGTAGGGTCACAGGCAGCCCGACCACCCCCATTAACCCAGACCCGGCCACACATACACACACACACACACAC